GCGAATTTGAGATTTTTATAATATTTACATACAATTAAAACTATACAAATCGATAGTAGAGAATTTCTAGTTCAAGGATCAATCAATAACTTTTCAGGATCAACGATTCTTAAAAATGTAAATGAGACCCAAAAATACAATAATTTTAGTGTTAAGCTTGCTTGTAAAGTGATTTTTTTTTTTTTTTTTTAGTCTTTCGTACTAAAATCCACCACAATATCACTCTTCTCATGACCAAAAGCCGCAAAACTTCCCTGCATATTTAAAGAATTAGTTAAGAAATATAGTGGAATCGGTCTAAACATTTGTGAAATGGCGGCATCACAAACTTGAAGACATGCTGATAGTAAATCGACAGCTGATCGACTCCCCTTTTTTCACGCTTTTATGCCAGAACTTGTAGATCTTCAGTCCCACTTGAGTTCTTTCTCAATCTGTCAAATGCATTATAATCAAGTTGTTTCTAAAAATCATTTTTATCAGCGATTATCAAATAATTCATCTTCCTCATCCTCTATTCGCCAAGTCAAGAAATTTCGATTCGATACTAATTCTGACAATAATTCTATTTCTAATTCTAGAGTTGATGAAGAGATAACTAGTATTAAAGAGCCATGCTTGTCTGTAGAGTCTAACAAAGCTGAGAACTTATTCGATAGAGATCAAGTTGAAAGAGAAGATAGTGAAAACGTAACACACTTCACTAATGCGATTACGGAGTTTCTGTTGTAAATAGAAATTCAAAATGGGGAAATGACAGAGCTGAAAAAAAAAAAAAGTCAGCTTTACAAGCAAGCTTAACACTAAAATTATTGTATTTTCGGGTCTCATATTTTTAAGAATCGTTGATCCCGAAAAGTTATTGATTGATCCTTGAACTAGAAATTCTCTACTATCTATTTGTATAGTTTTAATTGTATGTAAATATTATAAAAATCTCAAATTCACAATTGAAAGATTGAAAAAAATGGTAAAGAGCATCGATCAAGAGCCAATCAAATTCTTGCAGATTATTCTAGAATCGATTTCCATATTTGGTAAAATCCCTGACTGTAATGCAAGTACTGTATGTCATGTTTTTGGAGATGCATATCATAAAGAATTGGAAATTCCATGGTTAATTGATGACTATAACTACTATATGGGTGGTGTTGATATCACAGATCAACTTCGCAGATATTATAATTGTCAACTGACTGTTAGATGTACATGGCTTCCTTTATTTTTTTGGCTTTTGGACACTGTGTTTGTAAATTGTGTACTTATTTATCATAAAGTCACCAACTCAAATATCTCAAGTAAAGATTTTAGACTTAATTTGGCATGGGACCTGGTTAAAGCTACCTTAAGTGATGAAAAAAAAAAAAATTGTCTCATGAGAAAATATCATCCCAAGCTTCTTCAAAGGGAAAGCAAGTGGCTCATGTGACCAAGAATTTTGAATTACCCTTAACCTGGTTATTAGACGATGATCATTTAGTAGAATGGAGGAAAAAAAGAGAAGCTTGTATCTATTGTCATTATTTAGCACAACATGGAGACAAAGCAGTTAATTATGATAATTCTCCACAAAGCAATTTATGGTGTTGTAAATGTAATGTGCCATTATGTTCCTCTAAACAAGACCGAATTGTTTTAAGGACTTTCATTCTAAAAATTAAAAAGCATAGGGTCTGCAATTTTTTTTTTTTATTATATAAACTTTTTTTTTATTACGTAGTAATTTTTTTAATTACATAATTTTATGTTATGAATCACTTTCAACTTTAGCATTTGCTTTTTGAATCGTAATTCTCAACACTTTTCACATCTCAACTAAATGTGGTGTCATTTTGAATTTATTTTGCTTACCATTACGTAGTATACATTAAAGGCAAAATAGGAATAAATAAGGTAGAAATAAATAAATAAATAAGGCAAAAAAATAAATAAACAAAAAATAAATAAGGCAAAAAAAAAATAAATAAAATAAAATAAATAGGGTAAAAAAAGAGACAGATGAGTTAATAAAATTCTGAATTTTTATGCTGTTTGAATAATAAACTGATAAATACAATGAATTCCAAGTAGTGTTCCTATGAACCTGAACTGAACTGAACTTTGGTCAAGTTCAGGTTCAGGTTCAGTTCAATCAGGTTCAGT